CCCCGGGTAAAGAAATATCGTGAAGGCCGTTAAGATTTTCTTAGTCTAGTTGGAAGAAAGACTTTTTCTCGTGCTTTTGAGAACTGAGTTCAAATCCATCAATGATCCAACTGAGTGAAATGGGAATGAAAGATTTTTGTTGTGCTTACTTTATGTATATTTTTACTTAAAATATGTAAAAATGCAAGTCCGGGGATTTTATGAACAAATTTGATTACACCAAGATCAGTAGCTATAATAATAATAATAATAATAATAATAATAATAATAATAATAATAATAATAATTAATAATCCAATAATGTAAATGAAATAATCAAATAATGATCACTCAAAAAATAGTTAGGAATGCAGAATAGCTTTAAAGAATTTAAAATTATTACATTTTCGGGATAATTTTCAAATCATAATAACTAAATAGATAAATACAGAGAGTGACAACAAGTTACAATAACGACTCTGAACCGCTCACCATAAGCGAAACTCTTGTCAATTTTGCGTTATTTATCTATCTGAAACATTCACATTTTGTATAGCTTTTTAAACCAGCCATAAACCGTATTTAGGAGAGTAATTCTCGCGGCTCAAGTTGTGTTGTGTAAGGTGACTGCTCGCGTGTCTCCCTCCAGTCAACACATGTATATATATATTCTGTTCCTGAAGATCTTGATTAGGGATCTTCTTGAGGTTATCTTGAGATGATTTCGGGGCTTAGCTTCCCCGCGGCCCAGTCCTCGACCAGGCCTCCTTTTTGTTATACACCCCCTCAGCCAACACATGTATATATATATATTCTGTTCCTGAAGACCTTGATTAGGGACGTGATCAAATATATCATAATTTAGAAAGTAACAATTTTCCGTTTTCCACACTGCCAGGGAGTATTTGGTAGTGTTTTAGCGTTGTAACTAATGTTAGCGTGAATGATATGTTTACTGTGCTTTTTAGTGGCGAGAAAATGTGGCAGTGGACGGGTAACCTGACGTCACTTCAGTTGCTGTGTCACGTGACGTTGCTAATAAAATTGAGAGGAGTCAACATTACAGTTAGATATATTAGATAGATATGTGAAGAGTGTTGGCCTGGGCTTGGAGTTATGTGGTGTGAGAGCCTGGGAGCCCCAATTGGCTCACTTGAGGTCACTTGACCTCCAAACTTGGAGAGCAGGAGACCATGCTCAATGTTGCTCTGCGAGATGCCTGGAAATTGCTGGAAGGTTAATGGTACATCGGCCAGGACTTGAATGGGGTGAGAATTCCAAAAAGTGGAGGAGTATTGGCAAGAGACAGTGGTAGTGCTCCTGAGGGTAATTACCCCAACAGCAAGGAAAATTGTGATTTCGTTTGACTTGTATCTTTGTGAGGAGACAGAGAGGTTCTTGCCTAATCTCCGGAGCCTTGTAAACGAGCGTTGCTCCTTCCTGTATTAGGACCCCACATTATAACCCCTGACAGGTGCACCAGCTGGTGTGGACAAAGTTTAAGGCCACAGGTAAATGATGTCTTCATAAAGAAGCAAGAGACATCATGACAACTGTTGAAGTCAAAAGGCCTATTAATCATCCATATATCTTTAGGGATGATCATCGACCGTTAATTACTGCGTTTGAACGTGTTCTAACTGAACAACTTCAGTGTTTTAGCTTAGCTGACCATCCAGTAGCTGTAATATAGGGCATGAGGCTGATGAGAGTGGCATGGTTATGTTTCCCATAGCGTCAGGAACTGGCCAGGATCACACCTCTAATCACCTGACCTGAATGAGTCGTTTGTACGTGATTTTGTGGCAAGCAAACTCGGGCAAGACTTAATGGGTAAGACTGGAACATGTCGTGAGTTGCTGGACGATCTCGTCTGGGTCTGAACCCTCGCCAGCTGTAAATTGGAACCTGGACCAGGATTCAAGTAGCATTTATACATCTGCTTAGGAACCTGTGCATCTTTTCTTAATCTTTGGAGGCTTTGTTTACATTTAATAAAGGGTTTACAAGCATCAAAACTTCCAAGTCACAAGGTTCAAAGAAATCACATTAACATGATATATCAATACGAAAATCAGCAGGAGCCTTGAGGAGGCTTCGAACTGATGCTCTAGCAAATGTTATCATTGTTGTAAACAGCTTCCTGGTGCTTCGGAGCTCACAAATTGATTAATATATGTAAAGAAAGCCGCCGAAGATTAAGACAAGATGTGGAAGTTGGTATGTACTTATGGTGCTGCTCCATGACTCCAGGTCTCGCTGTCTAACTGAAATGAACAATTGTTTTAAATTGTACAATTGTAAAAGCCTTGTTTTAACTGATTGACGGGGCTTGTTCCAGGGGGAAGAGTAGGGTAAGGCCTAACATGAGCTGTGGGGAGGGAAATTTATAAGCCTGCTAATTAAGAAATATGTGCAAGTGTTTGAGTGCGAGAGTGTGTGTGAGGAAGTGCAACCATGAGGGCAAGGGTAGGGTGCTCTAAGTAAGATTGAGTGTGTGATAGTGTGAGAGTACTCGCCTATTTGTGTATGCAGTACCGAGCGTCAGCTTTTGGGCCTCGCCTTTTCAAACATAACCTCTTGTTCTATTGTTGCGCCCGCTAAACCTTTTATTATTTATCAGCTTTGTCAATCCCCTTTAGGATCTTATATTTCGCGACGTCTCCTTTTCCAGTAACATATATAATATAGTAGGAGCTAATTTCTCTCCTCATGCTCAAGTCCTGTCATATCTGGAACCAGTCTTGTGACCTCATTAGCTTCATTGGGCTTCAAGCTGTGAGCTCCATGTCGTGGCTACATGTTCCAGTATTGGTTTCACGTAGGTAGTAAACGGTGTTCTAATTGCCTCCTTTTTCGAATTTATGAAAGTTACTCGAATATTCGCCATCTTTTCATTGACCTCTTAATGTGTCTGTAGATTACGTATGATTATATATTATTCTATAAAATCTTGGAGGCTTTTCAGATTCGAGGAAGTACCTTACTCTCAGTGAGTACTCCTCGTTCCTCCCCCTCACTCTCACTACCTTAGGGTGATGTCTCGCTGCCCTCTGTCAATCATTCCTCCAGTTTGTCTGGGTCTCCATATGTCGGTTTCAGTTTTGCAACATCGGGGAGCATTGACAAGTAGGAGTATAATTCCCAGGTCCGACTACTGACGTATACAAGGAACAGGTCAGTTCTAGTTCTGATGCTAGCGACAATCCGCTAGTCGCACTCTTTAATGAAATCCGCGAGTCGCACTCTTTAATGAAATCCGCGAGTCGCACTCTTTAATCCTGGCTTCATGCCCTGTCCCTCCGACTCTTTGCGCCTCTTTAACAGGTACGTCCCAACCCATGTCGGTGTTCTATCGCATACTCCAGAGTGGGAAGGATCACCAGATGTGCCGGTGTCGAAGGCTCTCCGGCAGTCTTTAAAAGAGGCTGTCAACCCATCTTTCTGTTTCTTGGTTGAGTGTTAGCTTGTCGTAGTGGTGTAGCAAGGTTATCAGGCAGTGTAAACATGTGTATCTTTGAGAGAATGTGTATGTGGGGGTAATTAATAAGCCTGAATGTGTGACTGCGTGGAAGTGACATGTGGCTGCTTGACCCCCACCACCACCACCACAACCACCACTATCTCCCCCCCCCCCTCCCCCCTTACCACCACCACCACCACTATCTCCCCCCCCTCCCCCCTACCATCACCACCCTGCTTCCCTTGTTATGCCTGTTAAGTTAGAATTTAAAAATTTGAACATTCGGGGAACAATGAGCGTGTGTGTGTGAATATAACTGTATGCGAGAGTAAGCGTGAGTGTGAGAGTGGGAGGGAGGGAGGGAGAGGGGGTGGGGTGTTAGGATGAGTATGTGAGAGTGAGGGTAAGCGTGAGTGTGAGAGTGAGGGAGGCGTGGGAAGATGACCTGGTCTGAGGAGGGTGATGACTGGGAGGGGTCAGCCAGGCGGGGTGAGGGAGCTCCAGAGTGTTGGTGTAGTGGCGCTCTTTTGCTCCCGCCTCTGGCAACCCCTTTACCCTGCCCCGTCCCGACCCGGCCCTGCCCCACCCTGCCCCGGCCCAGCCCTGCCCAGCCCCGCCTCGCCCCGACCCGGCCCCGCCCTGCCCAGCCCCGCCTCGCCCCGACCCGCCCCGCCCTGCCCCGGCCCAGCCCCGGCCCAGCCCCGCCTCGTCCCAGGCCCTGCCCCGGCCCCGCCCCAGCCCTGCCCCGCCTCGCCCCTGCCCCGCTCCGCCCTGCCCTGCCCCGCCTCACCCCAGCCCTGCCCCGCCCCTCATGTCTGAACAGTCTCATAGCCTTAGTCTAGAAAAACCTGCTCCGCCCCGGCCTGCTCCCCCCCCCCCATACTTGCTATACCTTGACCCATCCTCTCTGCCCCCCCCCATCCATCTCTCGCCCCCCCCATCCATCTCTCGCCCCCCCCCATCCATCTCTCGTCTCACCCCCATCCATCTCTCGTCTCACCCCCATCCATCTCTCGCCCCCCCCCATCCATCTCTCGCCCCCCCATCCATCTCTCGCCCCCCCCCCATCCATCTCTCGTCTCACCCCCGTCTCCCCAACTTCAACGCACCACCCCAACGTCTATTCTACGCACATCTGTGCCAGGTAAATCCACTGCGGGCTCGCCATAGCCCGTGCTACTTGCAACTACTTGTGGACATTTTCAAGAGGAAACTAGATTTATTCCTCCAAGGAGTGCCGGACCAACCGGGCTGTGGTGGGTATGTGGGCCTGCGGGCCGCTCCAAGCAACAGCCTGGTGGACCAAACTCTCACAAGTCAAGCCTGGCCTCGGGCCGGGCTTGGGGAGTAGAAGAACTCCCAGAACCCCATCAACCAGGTAACCAGGTATTTGTTCCGAGGTGCTGAACCTAAACCAACAACAAGTAGCGTCTACTCCTTCGGGAGTTCCAGGCACATTCATCCTCCCTCACCCCTCACCCCATACTCCCACCCCTCACCCCCTCCCTCATCCCCATACCCCCAACACACACACCTCAACCCCCCCCCCCTCCTTCCATTAACCCCATTTGTCGTCGGCCATATTTATGATCTCAACTCTAAATAGTTGCATCTGAGATTCTTTATTATTTTTTTTAACTGGACTTCCCTTGGACCTGCCATTGGTCTTGTAACCCGGACTTGCCTTAGTGGTCTGAGGCCTGCCATTGGTCTTGTAACCCGGACTTGCCTTAGTGGTCTGAGGCTTGCCATTGTTCTTGTAACCCGGACTTGCCTTAGTGGTCTGAGGCCTGCCATTGTTCTTGTAACCCGGACTTGCCTTAGTGGTCTGAGGCCTGCCATTGTTCTTGTAACCCGGACTTGCCTTAGTGGTCTGAGGCCTGCCATTGGTCTTGTAACCCGGACTTGCCTTAGTGGTCAGAGGTCTGCCATTGGTCTTGTAACCCGGACTTGCATTAGTGGTCTGAGGCAAGCCATTGGTCTAATTACCCTCCTTCCCGCTCGGTAATGATCCAGCGATTCGTTTTTGTCGTAATAATGCAAATTACATTAACCTCTCACGCCCCCTAGTTATATTCTGGGTACGGTGTGGAGCCCTTAACCTGTCTGCTCTCCCCTGCTCTCTTCCCAGGGGACTTTATCACTGGTAATACTCCTCTGCTCTTATCTCAGGAGCAATATCCCGGGCAATATTGTTGTGCTCTTCTTGTTAATTATATATTTCCTGAGTGTCGTACTGAAGATTAATCCCAGTCATTCGTCAGTATGTACTGTAGCGGCTCTGTACCACAGTCTGTGTGCTGTAGCGGCTCTGTACTACAGTCTGTGTACTGTAGCGGCTCTCTACTACAGTCTGTGTGTTGTAGCAGCTCTCTACTACAGTCTGTGTACTGTAGCGGCTCTCTACTACAGTCTGTGTGTTGTAGCAGCTCTCTACTACAGTCTGTGTACTGTAGCGGCTCTGTACCACAGTCTGTGTGCTGTAGCGGCTCTGTACTACAGTCTGTGTACTGTAGCGGCTCTCTACTACAGTCTGTGTGCTGTAGCAGCTCTCTACTACAGTCTGTGTACTGTAGCGGCTCTCTACTACAGTCTGTGTGCTGTAGCGGGTCTCTACCACAGTCTGTGTACTGTAGCAGCTCTGTACCACAGTCTGTGTGCTGTAGCGGCTCTCTACTACAGTCTGTGTACTGTAGCGGCTCTGTACCACAGTCTGTGTGCTGTAGCGGCTCTCTACTACAGTCTGTGTGCTGTAGCTGCTCTCTACTACAGTCTGTGTACTGTAGCGGCTCTGTACTACAGTCTGTGTGCTGTAGCGGCTCTCTACTACAGTCTGTGTACTGTAGCGGCTCTCTACTACAGTCTGTGTGCTGTAGCGGCTCTCTACTACAGTCTGTGTACTGTAGTGGCTCTCTACTACAGTCTGTGTGCTGTAGCGGCTCTCTACTACAGTCTGTGTACTGTAGCGGCTCTGTACTACAGTCTGTGTACTGTAGCGGTTCTCTACTACAGTCTGTGTGCTGTAGCGGCTCTCTATCACAGTCTGTGTGCTGTAGCAGCTCTCTACCACAGTCTGTGTGCTGTAGCGGCTCTCTACTACAGTCTGTGTGCTGTAGCGGCTCTCTACTACAGTCTGTGTACTGTAGCGGTTCTCTACCACAGTCTGTGTGCTGTAGCGGCTCTCTACTACAGTCTGTGTACTGTAGCGGCTCTGTACTACAGTCTGTGTGCTGTAGCGGCTCTGTACTACAGTCTGTGTGCTGTAGCGGCTCTCTACTACAGTCTGTGTACTGTAGCGGCTCTGTACTACAGTCTGTGTGCTGTAGCGGCTCTCTATTACAGTCTGTGTACTGTAGCGGCTCTCTACTACAGTCTGTGTGCTGTAGCGGCTCTCTACTACAGTCTGTGTACTGTAGCGGCTCTCTACTACAGTCTGTGTACTGTAGCGGCTCTGTACTACAGTCTGTGTACTGTAGCGGTTCTCTACTACAGTCTGTGTGCTGTAGCGGCTCTCTATCACAGTCTGTGTGCTGTAGCAGCTCTCTACCACAGTCTGTGTGCTGTAGCTGCTCTCTATCACAGTCTGTGTACTGTAGCAGCTCTCTACTACAGTCTGTGTACTGTAGCAGCTCTCTACCACAGTCTGTGTACTGTAGCGGCTCTCTACTACAGTCTGTGTGCTGTAGCGGCTCTCTACCACAGTTTGTGTACTGTAGCAGCTCTCTACCACAGTCTGTGTACTGTAGCAGCTCTCTACCACAGTCTGTGTACTGTAGCAGCTCTCTACCACAGTCTGTGTACTATAGCAGCTCTCTACCACAGTCTGTGTACTATAGCAGCTCTTTACCAGTTGGGGGCTGTCAAGGGGGTAGGGACGAGGGGCGGTCAAGGGGGTAGGGACGAGGGGCGGTCAAGGGGGTAGGGACGAGGGGCGGTCAAGGGGGGTGGGGACGAGGGGCGGTCAAGGGGGTAGGGACGAGGGGCGGTCAAGGGGGTAGGGACGAGGGGCGGTCAAGGGGGTAGGGACGAGGGGCGGTCAAGGGGGTAGGGACGAGGGGCGGTCAAGGGGGTAGGGACGAGGGGCGGTCAAGGGGGTAGATGGGAGACGAGACACGGTGTACGTGTGTGTGTAATTAACTAAGTGTAATTAGCTAAGTGTAGTTACAGGATGAGAGTTTGGCTCGAGGTGTCCCGTCTTCCCGGTACTCTTGTGTCATATTACGCCTTGAACTGTGTGGGTGTGGGTGTACTCTCCTAGTTGTACTCACCTAGTTGAGCGTGTACTCACCTAATTGTGCTTGCGGGGATTGAGCTCTGTCTCTTTGGTCCCGCCTCTCAACTGTCACTTAACTGATGTACAGATTGTGTGTGTTGGGTGGGGGGTGTTTACTTTGAAATGTACATGACATAAATTAGTAATTATTGTTGTAAATATAATAATTTCATTGTTCGTAATATTTTGTTAGCAGAGATACGAGAATGTAAATAAAAAAACGAGTTGGTTATTAGGATAAACGGTTTTTATCCAATAGGCCTATTGACTTGGTTTCAGGTAGTTGGCATAATGGTCTTTATCTTCTAGGTGTATTTGTGTGGGTATGGGTAATAGGTACACCCCGTGTGGTTCCCGATTACTTGGTACAGGAAGTCGGAAGTCACCACCCCCCACCCCCTGCTCTAGCCGGGGAAGAGGCTCTCCCCACGGTCACCGAACCGGTTACTAGCCAGGCCTAGCGGTGTTTAACCAACCAGACCAAGTGATGCATGCTGCCTCATTCCCTGAGCCACACACCACTTCTCTATTACTCTCACCACTGTTTTACTCATTACTACTGCACTACATTCACCACCACCACCACTGCTCTACACTCACCACCACCACCACCACTGCTCTACACTCACCACCACCACCACCACTGCTCTACATTCACCACCACTGCTCTACACTCACCACCACCACTGCTGTACATTCACCACCACTGCTCTACACTCACCACCACCACTGCTCTACACTCACCACCACCACTGCTCTACATTCACCACCACTGCTCTACACTCACCACCACCACCACTGCTCTACATTCACCACCACTGCTCTACACTCACCACCACCACTGCTCCACATTCACCACCACTGCTCTACACTCACCACCACCACCACTGCTCTACACTCACCACAACCACTGCTCTACATTCACCACCACCGCTGCACTACACTCAGCACCACTACACAGTGCCCCTCCCCCCCAGCTGTCAATACACCAGCAGCTGCTACAATCCCTCGCCCCGATAAGGTTCCTTGTCTAAATCATTCCCCAACCATTCCAATAGATTTCCCAGATTCGTGGAGCGTAGCGCAAGAAACCGGTTGGCAGGAGTAAGGCTAGCGCCAACCTGGCTATCTAGACGCGAAAAGCATAACGGGTCGTTTGTGTTGCGCAAATTGTATTGTTTATGCAAGACTTGGGCTGGTTATCACGTCTCGTATGTTGCAGCGTTTGCTATCATTAGAGGTGAAGGCTGTGATCGTTTGAGGGTCGTGGTTGGCTTGTTATTGTGTTCGTCTAGATGCGTCTCGAGGGGTGATGTAGTGGGGTATTGGGGGGGGGGGTTGTAGTGGGGTATTGGGGGGGAGGTTGTAGCGGGGTTATTGGGGGTTGTGATGTAGCGGGATTAGCAGGCCCACAGGCCTGCTGCTCTACGATCCTTGATAATGTGTGTTGTTGTGTGTACCCGATAAAGGGAGGAGGGAGGCGGGGTGTACTCACCTAGTTTTACTCACCCATTTGTGCTTGCGGGGGTTGAGATTCAGCTCTTTGGTCCTACCTCTCAACCGTCAATCAACCGGTGAACAGATTCCTGAGCCTACTGGGCTCTTATCATATCTATATTTGAAACTGTGTATGGAGTCAGCCTCCATCACATCACTGCCTAATGCATTTCATTTGTTAACTACTCTGACACTGAAAGAATTGTTTCTAACGTCTCTGTGGCTCCTTTGGGTACTCAGTTTCCACCTGTCCCCTTGTTCGTGTTCCACCCGTGCTAAAGAGTTTATCTTTGTCCACTCTGTCAATTCGCCTGAGAATTTTATAGGTGGTGATCATGTCTTCCAGGGACATGAGGTATAACTCCCTTAGTCTTTCCTCGTAGCTCATTCTTCTCAGTTCTAAGACTAGTCTGGTGACATACCTCTGAATCTTCTCTAACTTCGTCTTGTGTTTAACTAGGTATGGACTCCAGGCTGAAGCTGCATACTCCAGGATTGGTCTGACATAAGTGGTATACAGGGTCCTGAACGATTCCTTACACAAGTTTCTAAAGGCAGTTCTTATGTTGGCCAGTCTAGCATATGCCGCTGATGATATCCTTTTGATGTGGGTCTCTGGGGACAGGTTCGGTGTGATATCAACCCCCAGATCTTTCTCTCTATTTGACTCTAGCAGAATTTCACCTCCCAGATGGTACCTTGTGTTAAGCCTTTGCTCCCTTCGCCTAATTTCATTATTTTGCACTTTTCTGAGGTGAACTTTTGTAGCCATTTTCTAGACCATTCCTCCAGTTTGTCCAGTTCGTCCTGTAGTTTCTGTTTCTGTTTATCTTCGTCTATCTTGATTCTTCTCATAATTTTTTAATCATCAGCAAACACTGAGAGGAATAAGTCTATCCCCTCTGGAAGGTCGTTTACATATATTAGGACAGGATTGGTCCAAGTACAGAGCCCTGTGGGACCCTGCTGGTGACATCTTGCCTCTGTGATGTCTCGCCTCCCCCTCACAGTTACTCGCTGTTTCCTGTTGCTTAGATACTCCCTTATTCACTAGAGCACCTTACCTTTTACTCCTGCCTGTTGCTCCAACTTTCGTAACAACATATTATGGGGTACTGTGTAAAAGGCTTTCTGACAGTCCAAGAAAGTGCAGTCTGCCCACCCTTGTGTGTGTGTGTGTGTGTGTGTGTGTGTGTGTGTGTGTGTGTGTGTGTGTGTGTGTGTGTGTGTGTGTGTGTGTGTGTGTGTGTGTGTGTGTGTGTGTGTGTGTGCGCGCACACAGTTACGCTTTGTGTACTTGCGTTACATTTAAGGTTTACATATTCCTGGATTGTACTATTTACTTTGGCGGTTTGTGTCTACCTGAACCTATAACTCTGCATGTTCTTGTATTTCTCTTCTTACCTGTCTCTTACTGTCTGCGTCCCTCACTGTCTGTCTGTCTCTTGACTATTTCCGTCTTGCTGTGTGTGCCCGTCTCTTCTTGCCTAGTTTGTCCCTACCTGTAAATGCAGCTTCTATAAATAGTTTGCTTTATCTCTTCAATAGTAGGTCAAAGTTACTGTAATTGATCTCATCACACTGCATACATTAACTCTACTGTGCCTATATTACCTCCTTAATATATCTGTGCTTGTGTTTATATAATTTTTGTCTGTCTGAATTGACACAAAAGAGAATCCTATATTACATCAATGGATCTCGAGAGATCCTGTATTTAAATGTTAAAATTGGGGTTAAATACCATTTGTAGTGTCATCTTTTCCGTTTGGGTTTCTTTACACCTTTCAGGGATCCTTCTGTGACCTTTATGAAGGTAAAGTCCTGAAGGTCTTATGCTTCCCTATCTCCCTGAGGAGGTTTTCTTTATCTGTCCCTCTCTATTTCGTTTCCTGCCTAAGACTCCTTGTAATTTTTTGCTCCGCGTTGAGGTCCTCGGGAATCCTTCTTCTGCGTTGAGGACCGCAGGAGTTCTTCCTCCGCGTTGAGGGCCGCAGGAGTTCTTCCTCCGCGTTGAGGGCCGCAGGAGTTCTTCCTCCGCGTTGAGGGCCGCAGGAGTTCTTCCTCCGCGTTGAGGGCCGCAGGAGTTCTTCCTCCGCGTTGAGGGCCGCAGGAGTTCTTCCACCGCGTTGAGGGCCGCAGTCAGGAGTCCTACCTCCGCGTTGAGGGCCGCAGGAGTTCTTCCACCGCGTTGAGGGTCGCAGTCAGGAGTCCTACCTCCGCGTTGAGGGCCGCAGTTCTTCCACTGCGTTGAGGGCCGCAGTCAGGAGTCCTACCTCCGCGTTGAGGGCCGCAGGAGTCCTTCCTCCGCGTTGAGGGTCGCAGGAGTCCTTCCTCCGCGTTGAGGGCTGCAGGAGTCCTTCCTCGGCGTTGAGGGCCGCAGGAGTCCTTCCTCCGCGTTGAGGGCCGCAGGAGTTCTTCCTCCGCGTTGAGGGCCGCAGGAGTCCTGCGTTGAGGGTCGCAGGAGTCCTTCCTCCGCGTTGAGGGCTGCAGGAGTCCTTCCTCGGCGTTGAGGGCCGCAGGAGTCCTTCCTCCGCGTTGAGGGCCGGGAGAGTCCTTGCCATCTTCAGCTGCATGTCTCGGTTCATCTGTGTTATCGGGTGTGTTGGCTGATAAGATTATATTGTGGCTGTGTGAGCGGGAGGGACCGTGGGAAGGTTCTCAGGCTGGCAGAGAGACGGGGAGAACAGACAGACGTGTACACGGACAGAAACGTCCACAGGCAGGTAAACAGGCAATCCGACACGGGGGCAGGCAAGCATAAAACACACAACAATTGGATTGATTTATTATTTGACTTCTGTCGCTGAAGGAAGACGGGAAGACGCTATGGAAGCCGCCACAGTACACACTAATACTTCAGTAAGAGAAATGTGTGTTGTTGCTGCTGATATTGCGACCATCTGTTGTTCCTGTTCTCGCTTCTGTTGGTTCCTGATAACGCTGCTGCCATTTCTGTTGCAACCGATGCCGTTACTGTCTCTCGCGGGGACCAGAGACAGGAAATTAGGCTGCAATGATAATTGAGAGCGAGCCCCCTGAGAGCATCTTAGTCTGGACTCTCCGACACGCTCTGCGAGAATCAATGGCGTGCTTCGCTTTCCTCCTCAAAAACTGTCTTAACGGGAAGTGGCATATTAATGTTATTTTTTGACGGGGGGGGGGGGGGGAAGCTTCAATATCCCGCTCGCCTTTCCTTTCCCCTAAAAAACAGAGGAAAAGTGGAATTCCTTTTTCATTGTTTCATACACAATGAAACCCGTTTTATAGTGTTCTTTTTTTTTCCTAGGAAGATGATTGTGTTCTCATGTTCGTGTTCTCTAGAGGTGTTTGTTATCAAGTGCATGTTCTCTAGGTGTGATTATTCTCCTGAGGGGTTTGTACTTTTTTGGAAAAGTTTCTGTCGGATGACTTTTCTGGCACTGATGGACTTCTAAGTTGCCTTCAGTGGCTGGTAACTTTCCTGTTAGATCTTCACAGTGGATGGTAAGTTTCCTGTTAGATCTTCACAGTGGCTGGTAACTTTCCTGTTAGATCTTCACAGTGGCTGGTAACTTTCCTGTTAGATCTTCACAGTGGCTGGTAACTTTCCTGTTAGATCTTCACAGTGGCTGGTAACTTTCCTGTTAGATCTTCACAGTGGCTGGTAACTTTCCTGTTAGATCTTCACAGTGGCTGGTAACTTTCCTGTTAGATCTTCACAGTGGCTGGTAACTTTCCTGTTAGATCTTCACAGTGGCTGGTAACTTTCCTGTTAGATCTTCACAGTGGCTGGTAACTTTCCTGTTAGATCTTCACAGTGGCTGGTAACTTTCCTGTTAGATCTTCACAGTGGCTGGTAACTTTCCTGTTAGATCTTCACAGTGGCTGGTAACTTTCCTGTTAGATCTTCACAGTGGCTGGTTAGTTTCCTGTTAGATCTTCACAGTGACTGGTAACTTTCCTGTTAGATCTTCACAGTGGCTGGTAACTTTCCTGTTAGATCTTCACAGTGGCTGGTTAGTTTCCTGTTAGATCTTCACAGTGACTGGTAAGTTTCCTGTTAGATCTTCACAGTGGCTGGTTAGTTTCCTGTTAGATCTTCACAGTGGCTGGTAAGTTTCCTGTTAGATCTTCACAGTGGCTGGTTAGTTTCCTGTTAGATCTTCACAGTGGCTGGTTAGTTTCCTGTTAGATCTTCACGGTGGCTGGTAAGTTTCCTGTTAGATCTTCACAGTGGCTGGTTAGTTTCCTGTTAGATCTTCACAGTGGCTGGTAAGTTTCCTGTTAGATCTTCACAGTGGCTGGTAAGTTTCCTGTTAGATCTTCACAGTGGATGGTTAGTTTCCTGTTAGATCTTCACAGTGGCTGGTAACTTTCCTGTTAGATCTTCACAGTGGCTGGTTAGTTTTCTGTTAGATCTTCACAGTGGCTGGTTAGTTCTCTGTTAGATCTTCACAGTGGCTGGTTAGTTTTCTGTTAGATCTTCACAGTGGCTGGTTAGTTTCCTGTTAGATCTTCACAGTGGCTGGTTAGTTTCCTGTTAGATCTTCACAGTGGCTGGTTAGTTTTCTGTTTAGATCTTCACAGTGGCTGGTTAGTTTTCTGTTAGATCTTCACAGTGGCTGGTTAGTTTTCTGTTTAGATCTTCACAGTGGCTGGTTAGTTTTCTGTTAGATCTTCACAGTGGCTGGTTAGTTTTCTGTTTAGATCTTCACAGTGGCTGGTTAGTTTTCTGTTTAGATCTTCACAGTGGCTGGTTAGTTTTCTGTTAGATCTTCACAGTGGCTGGTTAGTTTTCTGTTTAGATCTTCACAGTGGCTGGTTAGTTTTCTGTTAGATCTTCACAGTGGCTGGTTAGTTTTCTGTTTAGATCTTCACAGTGGCTGGTTAGTTTTCTGTTTAGATCTTCACAGTGGCTGGTTAGTTTTCTGTTTAGATCTTCACAGTGGCTGGTTAGTTTTCTGTTTAGATCTTCACAGTGGCTGGTTAGTTTTCTGTTAGATCTTCACAGTGGCTGGTTAGTTTCCTGTTTAGATCTTCACAGTGGCTGGTTAGTTTCCTGTTTAGATCTTCACAGTGGCTGGTTAGTTTTCTGTTTAGATATTCACAGTGGCTGGTTAGTTTTCTGTTTAGATCTTCACAGTGGCTGGTTAGTTTTCTGTTTAGATCTTCACAGTGGCTGGTTAGTTTTCTGTTAGATCTTCACAGTGGCTGGTTAGTTTCCTGTTAGATCTTCACAGTGGCTGGTAAGTTTCCTGTTAGATCTTCACAGTGGCTGGTTAGTTTTCTGTTTAGATCTTCACAGTGGCTGGTTAGTTTTCTGTTTAGATCTTCACAGTGGCTGGTTAGTTTTCTGTTTAGATCTTCACAGTGGCTGGTTAGTTTTCTGTTTAGATCTTCACAGTGGCTGGTTAGTTTTCTGTTTAGATCTTCACAGTGGCTGGTTAGTTTTCTGTTAGATCTTCACAGTGGCTGGTTAGTTTTCTGTTTAGATCTTCACAGTGGCTGGTTAGTTTCCTGTTAGATCTTCACAGTGGCTGGTTAGTTTTCTGTTTAGATCTTCACAGTGGCTGGTTAGTTTTCTGTTTAGATCTTCACAGTGGCTGGTTAGTTTTCTGTTTAGATCTTCACAGTGGCTGGTTAGTTTTCTGTTTAGATCTTCACAGTGGCTGGTTAGTTTTCTGTTAGATCTTCACAGTGGCTGGTTAGTTTCCTGTTTAGATCTTCACAGTGGCTGGTTAGTTTTCTGTTTAGATATTCACAGTGGCTCGTCTCTGATTAATTTATTTCTATATTTATGGCCGTCATTATTATAATTGTTCATGCAAGAATGTTTGCGATTTACAATTGACTTTAAACATTGCGATATTTCTGTTTCTTGTTAGAAATTCTTTGCGTGTCGTTAACTCTGACTTCTGGTTGTGGGAGTTGATCAGTGGTAGTGAGCAGGTTCCTGGTTGTGGGAGTTGATCAGTGGTAGTGACCAGGTTCCTGGTTGTAGGGAGTTGATCAGTGGTAGTGACCAGGTTCTTGGTTGTGGGAGTTGATCAGTGGTAGTGACCAGGTTCCTGGTTGTGGGAGTTGATCAGTGGTAGTGACCAGGTTCTTGGTTGTGGGAGTTGATCAGTGGTAGTGACCAGGTTCCTGGTTGTGGGAGTTGATCAGTGGTAGTGACCAGGTTCTTGGTTGTGGGAGTTGATCAGTGGTAGTGACCAGGTTCTTGGTTGTGGGAGTTGATCAGTGGTAGTGACCAGGTTCCTGGTTGTGGGAGTTGATCAGTAGTAGTGACCAGGTTCCTGGTTGAGGGGAGTTGATCAGTGGTAGTGACCAGGTTCCTGGTTGTAGGGAGTTGATCAGTAGTAGTGACCAGGTTCCTGGTTGTGGGAGTTGATCAGTGGTAGTGACCAGGTTCCTGGTTGTAGGGAGTTGATCAGTGGTAGTGACCAGGTTCTTGGTTGTGAGAGTTGATCAGTGGTAGTGACCAGGTTCCTGGTTGTAGGGAGTTGATCAGTGGTAGTGACCAGGTTCTTGGTTGTGGGAGTTGATCAGTGGTAGTGACCAGGTTCCTGGTTGTGGGAGTTGATCAGTGGTAGTGACCAGGTTCTTGGTTGTGGGAGTTGATCAGTGGTAGTGACCAGGTTCTTGGTTGTGGGAGTTGATCAGTGGTAGTGACCAGGTTCCTGGTTGTAGGGAGTTGATCAGTAGTAGTGACCAGGTTCCTGGTTGTGGGGAGTTGATCAGTGGTAGTGACCAGGTTCCTGGTTGTGGTGACCATTCCATTATTGTTGTTGTTATGGTAAGTCTGAGTCAATTAGGTTAACGCTCTGACCAACCTTAGCTAATGACCCTTACCCATTATGAATAATGACCCCAAACAATCAAGTCTAAGAAGGAAATAGAACATTTAATAATTAGCATAAACCTGGACAATTTTGACAAATAATCACATCTCTTCATCACAAACGACCAACAACAAACAAATGACCTTAATTATCCTAAGGAAATTAGCACTAACGAATCAGAGGTGACGGCACTAACCAACCAGAGGTGACGACACTAACCAACCAGAGGTGACGACACTAACCAACCAGAGGTGACGCCACTAACCAACCAGAGGTGACGCCACTAACCAACCAGAGGTGACGCCACTAACCAACCAGAGGTGACGACACTAACCAACCAGAGGTGACGACACTAACCAACCAGAGGTGACGCCACTAACCAACCAGAGGTGACGACACTAACCAACCAGAGGTGACGCCACTAACCAACCAGAGGTGACGCCACTAACCAACCAGAGGTGACGCCACTAACCAACCAGAGGTGACGCCACTAACCAACCAGAGGTGACGCCACTAACCAACCAGAGGTGACGCCACTAACCAACCAGAGGTGACGACACTAACCAACCAACCACAGTTATCTGGCTTGGAGACTGCAGCATCCAGCCAGCATCTCTGGAGTCTCATCTCCACTCTCTCATCCTCCCGGAGATGAAGAACGACCACAAAACAACTAATTGGCTCTCCACTTAATGTCCCATTACATCCAGTATATTTTCCCAATTTGGATCACGTTAGCTCGTTAACCTTTATGTGGTAACGAG